ATGATAATGACACGTTGTTCATCACAATTTGTACATAAATTACAACATGAAATATAAAATTGTATAAAAATTATTTTTTAAAACTTAAAAACTTTGTTTAGTTTTGTTTTTTGTTTAATTGTAAAAATTTTTTGAGTGCATTTTCCTTACAAAAACCGTTGAGATCACAAGCTAGGTTATAACAAATTACTTGACTCTAAAAATTGTTTAAAATATCTCTCAACGAATTTCATTAAAAAGTTATTTTACTTATAATTAAAGTCTTATATTTATTATTAATTTTTAAAACTTGTTGATTATATGAGAATAAATAAATATAAAACTCATAACTAATAAAAAAAAACGGTAAATCATTTATGTTTGATGTTATGATTGAAACACTGGTCAAAGAAGTCGGTCATTCGTGTATACATGTGTGCCATTGATTGCTGCAAACCGTGTCTCTGATCGGGATATACCTGTGTTTGGTATTTCACATTCGCCTCATTCAGAGCCTTCAAAAGCATCATCGCTTGAATGTTGTGTGTAATGACTGCCAATTATTGTATGGATAATTGCATATGAGTTACAGTATTAGCAATAAATAAAAAATAGATAAATTAATAGTTGCATATATAGTGTATTTGCATATACCGTCTGCGGTGCCGAATACAAGCAAAAACTGTTTGCCATTCAAACGCTTCACGTAATCCAATGTCGACGACAAGCGATAGTTTTGCAGATTGTCTTCAGGTGTGGGGAAACCCATATGTCGTTCAGTATAGACAGAGTCTGAAACAAATGAGACATTTGTTTATTATATTTAATATTTATTCAATTTCATTGTTAATCTAATTATTTCTTAAGACATAAACAATTTATAATATAACTAAACACAAACCGGTATACATCCAATCGGTCGCCGGCGCCACCGCTACACCACAGCTGAATACAATGTCGTTATAATCGTCTTGCAATGCCTTTGTGTAGTGTAGGCAAATTAACCCTAGGGTTACCCTTTGATCAGGGTTAACTCTAGGGTCAAAGTCAATTTTTTAGAAGGTCAAAGTTAAAAGTCAAAATCTTTTTGACCCAATGTTAATTTTTTGACGTCATTGTTGTTACGAGTCATGACAGCAATGGGTCAAAAGGGTAAACAGTTTAACCCGGATTAACCCTGGTCAAAAGTCAAGGTCAGATATTTTTAACCTTGAGGGTCAAAAGTAAAGAATATTTTTGAAATTTGGCAAAACTACCTTTATGGTCAAATATCCACCATAAGACCAGCCCCATATGGCTATAGAGTTAGAATCGACATAGGGCACATTATCGCGCAAATAACTAATACAAATATGAATTCAAGTGTTAAAATAATGTTTGCAACTAATTGCCGGAGCCGTACAAACCGGGCCACAGCTATAGTGTCCTCGACCTCAACGGTTCCCAATCGGCGATAGATTTCAAACATGAATTGTTGGCCGCGATTGGGGGCACCTCTGCTGTCCAGATAGGCATAGATTACGCTTTTATTTGAGACCAAATAAGAGCCGAATTGATTGTAAAAGTATTTATGGGAAACGTATTCACTCTCAGCTCCGGGTCCGCCGTAAACGTTGAAAACTAACGGATATTTTTGCGCTGAATTGTTATTGAAATTTTGCGGCACAAAAAGCTGAACGTCGAGCTCTGTGTAGGGATAATATGTTTTCAATATATAACTAATTAAACAGTATTTTACATAAGTAAATAATTAGTTACATACGATAGCGTCCGACCGGAACCTTCATGAAAATGGTTTTGGGAAGCGATAGGTTTTTGAGTTTAGTATTCAGGCGTTTATTGTCTTCGAGTGTATAGAGTAAGCGGTCGTCGACTGTCCGCCTGACCACCGATTGGGGAATATTAGGTCCTAAACAGTGATGGATATAATGGTTGGCATCTTTGCTGAACGTGGCGTCAGAGACCAGACATGTGTTATCCCTATCGGTGTTATATGTGTTGATAAGACATGTGTGACACACGGGTTCTGTCTTCGCCGCCGCCGACGACTGGCTTAACGGAGCGCTCATTAAATGCTTTTCTCCCGGATTTGAAGGAAACGTTGCCGTAAAATAGCTGCCAATTATTTCATATAATATATGGCTATTGTTAGACAATTGTATACCGAGTTTTGTTTTCTTACATTTTATCACTTTCTGTGTTTACGTTTAGTATATCTTTCACTTCAAATACACCGGACGTTAAAAATGATAATTCGGCCGACTATTTGATTGACATAAGGATTGTATTTGTATTGTGTATTGCATTACAAGAATAGTATTGAATGTCTGACCGAAACGGACACTTTGGCGATGTGTGGAAACACATCCCTCCCGTTGTCACTCATTTTGGGTACTTTTATAAGATATGACTCGCCGTCTCGTGTGACGACAGGAGCCGTGTGATAGTCAATCCATCCGTTAGTCGATTGTAATTTAAAATTCTGTTAACAATTAAAATTAGTATTTAGTTTATCGTTAGTTTTTATGACACAAATGATTATTAAATATACAGAAATCGGCTCCCAATTAATTCGACTACTATAGCATGTCATGACCGACACGTTTTGAGCACGGTTCACCCAATTTGCACAAACAACATGATCATCGGCCCACTTTAATGTTGTCATATAATGATCTCTATTAATAAATAATGCAAACTTTGTAAATATATTTGACTCGGTTTTAATCAATACAAACCCATAGTCTGTGATAACTTTGGGTGGCTTTAAATGTACGGCCAGTTTACCGATCGAGTCGTTATAATCACGCAATTGAGTCAAATCGATGTAATAAAGAGCTTTGACTCGGTTTTAATCAATACAAACCCATAGTCTGTGATAACTTTGGGTGGCTTTAAATGTACGGCCAGTTTACCGATCGAGTCGTTATAATCACGCAATTGAGTCAAATCGATGTAATAAAGAGCGATCGTAGGGTTGGGTCGGCCCACTTTCGGGTACCTGACCATTTCAATTTTAGGATATTGATTGTGATAACCCTGGGCCAATTTGCCTGTGCTATAGAATGGCCAGGTCATTAAGTCGACACCGCTGTCATCAATGGTCGTGTAGACCAACTTTGTTCCCACCGGTGATAACCAAAACAGTTTTGGTGAGTTTGCGTATATCTCTCGTCTGTACAGCCAATCGGGTATTCCGTTATATATAACCATATCTTCGCCCGTATTTGTGAGTCTTATCGGCGCTGCGTTTGCATCGGATTTATAGTAAATGTCATTTTTGTGGACAAATATAATTTGCGATCCAATTGTTCCCCAATCGGCATAAGTTATATATGTATCGTTTGGCTGTTGTGTGGGCACTAGTGCTGGCAATAAATTGCTTTATTTATATAAAATTGTTCATTTTTATTATCTACCTCTTTAATTGATAATAAATTATTAGTAATAATGTATATAAATAATGACACAAATCTATCTCTCTCTATATATATAAAGTATATATGTATGTAACAAACCTGTCATTAATTGAATAAATCCTATACTTTCCGACCGAACAATAGCTATAAACTAATTTAAATTCCTGTTTAAAGAGGAAATATTTGCGATCCGGAGATAATGAAAGTCCCTTTAGTCGTAAGCGTTGCTATTGTAACAAATCATTCAATTAGTATTTTATCACTTATTAAACTATATTAATTAGAGGTAATGAATACTAACTATGGTTTTGTTTTGTATGATAATATCTGTAGTTAACTTTAATACATTAAAAATGCATAAATTGTTGTGAGAGTCGTAATGAAGTAATTCATTGCTGGAAATCCAGGTGCCATTAAAGAGGCGGTAACTTAATTCACCCGACATATAGTCAGTGAAAGTGATGCCCCGTTTGGGCGACAATGCGATTGGCTTTTGATCGGTAATAATGTCCACAAAACTGTGTACTTCGGATACTTTACCTAAAGTATTGTTATGCATATGAATTGTTTTGTTTAATTTTCATCTCTTTCTCACTATCGATGATCTCGTCGTAAAATATAGCAAACGCCACAAACGCTATACTTATGGCCATTAATGCGATCAACAATAGGACTCCAAAATAGCGGCTCAGCCGACACTTTCTCTGTATAGAAATTGATACTAAAATTCATTTCAATTCCCATTTGTTATGAAAAGTTTATTTTTAAATATATGCAATTAGGTTTAAATCTATTTTATTTGGGTAGTTGTAACATAAAATACAATAATAAAATGATAAGTTGTGAATAAAATGTGATTGAAATGAGACAATAAGCTAGTCAGTGATGGGGGTGTGAGGGCTCACCAATTGGAGTCGGCAGAGATGTGTTTTAGTCAATCCGTTGGCGTTTTCATTGGTAGTGTTGACAACGGAATCCTTATTATTATTCACACCATAAGTGTGGTTCACATTTGGACAGCCAGTGAATGAAGTCGTGGCCAGATTTGGCACTTCATTCAAATTCTCATTTATAACACTATTTCTGTTACCAAATGTTTTCATATTTTGCATAATTAATTAATTACCTTTTTTACACTACATTTCAATCAATAGTTAATAATTTTTAAAAATTACTTCTGTATTACTATTCCTATCATTCACAACACCTGTTATAACGAAAGCATTTTATTGCATAAAATTCAATCACTTTCAATATAGAGAAATACAATCCTTAACACAATTATATTTATAAAATGTTAAGTGATGTTATATTTTATAAAAATAATTTAATTACAAATACTAGATTAGATTTATTATTTAATCAGACAATTATTTGCATGTGTTGGCCATTATATCGCCTATATCATATTTAGATATTTATCCCATATCTTTAAACAATACCAGTTTTTAAAGGTATGTTTTTTATGTTAAATTAAGAGAGTTAAACTAAATTTTTGTGGTTTTAATATAAAGCATAACTAAATATACATAGTTATGTTACATATTTATTAAGTTATATATATACATTAATAAACACTGTTATATAATCTTTATCAAAATGCCAGAAATTCAACTGTAAACAATTTACCTTGCTGACTCTAATGTTATCAAATGCTTAAGGTGCAATTGGGATTTATTGTAAATTTTTATTAGCAATATATTAAAATTGTATTGTTTTATTGTGGCAATTGTCAGAATATTTATAAAAATGTATAACATGTATATAAAGTAAACTTTATATATAAAATATGTGTCAATTATGTTTTGCCGTTGACATTGCATTTGACTGCATTGTCACTCATTTTCTCCACTCAAATTCACTCGGATCGGCAAAGGGATCGGCAAAGGGATCGGCAATGGGGTTAGGATTAGGATTCGCGTGCGGACCGTCATTACCTTCTGTGTCTCCGGGCTCAGGGTATGGCTGAGGTTCGGGTTCCGCTGTGGGGTGTGTGCAAATCATAATTAAATATAAATGTACATTATATTAGTTAGGGATACATACCATTTGGCTCGGCCACCACCGTATAGGTCATTATGGTCAACACGGCCACAATTACTAGGATTGAAGCTGAACGCATTTTAGATATTGTCAATCTTATACTTTACGATTTATAACTGCAAACTAGTATTGTAGCAGTTCTTATATAGGCAAATAAGTAGTGGTGTTCCCAGGTGCACACTACGTCCACGTGCTATGGGTTGGACCAAACTATTACAGTCATAATTTGGCAATAATAAAGTCCTATCAATTTTACTATAATATGTGTTGGGAAATATTTTATAACAATTTTTATAAGCAAATAACTAGTGAGTATGAGTCCGGATGGTTTTGTTTGGGATTAAACCACATAAGGTATGTACAGTAGGCGTCATGATAAATGTTGGTAATTATAAAATATTCCTAGTAATTAATTATTTAATTCGATTATTGCTTAAGAGTGTTGTTTGTGACGGAAATGTTAAGAATATGATACTTCAGATCCTTATGTTAAGAATACATATTTCATTACAAATAAGATTTCATCATTTTTGAAAATTTTACTTTTAAAATTTGCAATTGTTATTTCTAATATATTAATATTTTAATTGAGGAGAGAGAGAGAGAGAGAAAGAGAGAGAGAGACTAAATTT